TCCCAAACACGCTAATTAACTGTGGGCTTGACAACAGACTGAGAAAACAGCAAGAAAGAACTCACTGATTGCAGAGATCTGATTTCCACACAGGAAGGCTGCTACGCTGCGGTACGTAACTCGTACGTTTGGCTTCATCAGGGCAGGCTGCACAACCCAGCACCATGCTGCAATATTTGGCATATCGCTGCCCCAGGCACCGAGTTCATTTCCTCTCCCTACCGGAGCTCACAGGAGATGGCCGAGGTCGGCAGCAGGGGAACCTCAGCTTTGGCTTTGGAGCACTCTGCTGTGTTCCAGCATCTCTTCCCTTGAAGCAATTTTGCTCCTCTTTAGTATTTGTTGCTAGGAGACAAAGGATTGTCCTAATTATACATGAAAAGTAGCTGCCATCTCCCAATTGCCTACTTGACAGAAAGGGCCATATCAAGAAAAAACAGACTGGGTAAGAAAAATTCCCTTTTCCAGGCTCTGATCCCGTTGCTTCACTACATGAACAGCTATACTGTCTCTGTCCCTTCCACCTATGGGTCTGAATGAAAAAGAAGGTCCATGCATCACACCACACAGCTCAGCAAGCCACATGCACCAAGCAGGTTTTATGGTGCCAGCCCTAGCTAGCTGCCCCTCTCAGAGAGGAATCTTTCTCCTTGGCTTAGAAGCACTGAGACCTCAATGCATCAGACTTCCCGTCTGCGCCAGAGGCTGACAAATACCAGAGAAAGAGCAGCAAGCGTTGATTTACAAAATCTAGATTCAGTATCGAAATTGCCTGCCTCTTCCCACCGGAGACATGACACGCTGCAAAGGTCCTAACAGGCAGAACAGATGCCATGCAATGCGGCCACACAGAAGCTCGGTTTCTACCCTATCTTAGCTTGGTCTCTCTAGAAACAACACAATCCCACAAGCACTCGCTTCCCCAAAATTCCCACAGCAAGTTCACTCTGCACGTGACCAGCTGCAGTGCCTCCTTAGTCTTCTTTCTTCTTACTACTCACTTTGGTTCCTCTGTTAATAACGGGACGCCTCGCAGCACCCCACTGACACCCGCACAGGGGTATCATGTCAGCAGGGCATCCCACCGGTAGGAGCTCAGCATCTAACTGAAGGAAGCTTAAGGGCTTACCCCTGGCTAAAGGAAGGAGGCAACGAACAAGTGCCAAAGATGGAAAGAGCACAGTTACAGCCACACGAAGAGCACCGGCTCCATGTGGAAAGGCTACTGCCTAAGGCTCCAAAACTGCCGGGTGCAACAGCCCACACAGCTTGCTGCAGCAGCAGCCCAGAGATTTAAGGGATGCGGTGAGGGAAACGCTTTCCTTTTTAGAAGCAAAGCATACTTTGCATTCTCAAGCAGACAGTGGTCCCTGCTCAGCTACAAGAGCATGGGACCAAGGCAGCTGCAGCGTGCAGTACCGTAAAGACACTCCAAGTCATCCTGCCCTGAGATCAGCCAGCTCCTGAAGAGGCGCAGGTGGTAGGAGCACTGCTGGAGGTGATGGGCTAGAGCGGCATCCAGGGAGATGTTCCGGCTCGTGGCACAGTCAGAGGAAAAACGGCGCAGCAACTGGGCAACGTGGTGGTGCTCAAACGCATCTGGAGGAAAGGGGGCCATAAAGAGTGAGAGGAGAGGGGCAGGAGCAGCTGGGGACAGAGAAATTGTGGAGACGTGGGGATGGAGCTGCCAGCACCAGGGCCGCCGGGTGGGAAAGGCCCACGCCACACCGCTGAAGCCCAGTCCCTCCCACAGCAGCAGGCAGGAACACCCTCAGAGCTACGTACCCGCAGCCATGCTGCAGCCGGCCAGCCTCCCACCCGGCCCAGCCTTTGCCAAACACAGCTCCAGCGCAGGGGCAGTCCCTGAGCAGCGAGGTTGCATCTTTGTAAGTGGAAGTCTGACAAACGAATAAATTTTAGGACACATTCCAAGTCCAATACAGATAAGAAGGTCAGGCCCACACTCGCCCTCCCCCAGCTGAGACAAGAAACCCAGACTGCCAAGAGAGCATTCGAGTCCTGCATCCAAACGCAGCCAGCCACCTCAGCACACGAAGAGAGCGAACGACCCGGCATCCAACGACCGGGGGCTGTGAAAGGGATGCCGGGGGACAGCGGGGTTTGGCTGAGAGCAGAACGCTTGGGGCGTGGAAGAACAGAGGGGGCACAGAAGTGCTGACCTCCCCCTCTAGACTCTCGGAACAGCCCTGTGCAATCTTCTGTGACATCCTTGCGTGGCAGACAAGACACTAGCACGCAGGCATGTCTTCTCCTCCACGTATACAGCCTCAGGACTCATGTCACGCTCCCAAGACTCACGAGACCAGGGCATAAAGCATCTGGCCTGACGCTGTGCTTGGCCACTACTCTGGTTCACCCATCCCATTTCACCACATAGAGGCAGCTCTTCAGAAACAAAATCCAGATTCAGAGCTGTGAATAGCTTTTGCATCCTCAGGCAAGTGGTTCATGTGGCTAAACATCCTTCCTGCTAAAAACAGTGCCAAGCCTAGACCAAATATGCCTAACTTCAAGCTCACACCTGCTGAGCCCCTCTCTGTTTTCTTGATTAAGGAGCACTTTGCCATTGGAAATATTCACTGGGTTCTTGGGAAAAACCTGATGCCCAGTTTCACTTCATTGTATTTGGGGCAGGGGCAGTTGCTTTACAGTGTGGCTTAGGAAAGACTGGTGATTGGTACAAGTTTTGCTGGCAAGATAGAACGACACATCCTGCTGACATACACCACGTGAGCTCAGATGGTATCCAGACATACAAACAAATCGAGCAGCTGGCCACTCTGGGAAAAACAAAACCAAGCAAACACAGAAAATAGGTTCCCTTCAGATATCTGAAACAATAAAGCCACATTTAGCTGCCCCTTCCCCTTTCATCTTTCCTAAAACTTTGGTCTTCATAACAGTCTTCTGAACTTCTTCCATCTTCCAGATCATGCAGAGCACAATTTCTTCATATTTACTAAGCAACAAGATTGCAGAAGCAGCCTTGATCACGTAAGACAGAAATATTTAACCTGACATCTGCCAGTGATCTGCTTTGGTTCTAACTTGTCTCAACAGCAGGAGCCATGAGGTAGGAGCGGTGCTGTGAAACGAACCTTTTCAGAAGCTTCTGTGCAAGGCTCAGATAATAAACACTAGTTCAAGGCATCTGCTACCACAGAGCTAATGGTCTTTAGCCTCAAAGACTCACAGTTCAGGTGTTAGGTTAGTAGCAATATGAAGCAGAGATAGTGGGTCAACAGAAGCACTGTCAGACATCCTCCTTTACCAAGCCTCTTCATAGCTCCTAGCACGACAGGAGCAGAGCAGGTTGCATCACCCTGGGTGGCATGGTGCCGATCCCTTCCTACCTCAGGAAGGCAGCAGGCCCGAGCTAACACTGTCCGCCAACAGCAGATGAGTGAAAGTTCTGGAGAGACACCATTCCCAGGATAACGTCTGCAGGAAAGGTGAGCCTGCTCCCACCAACACCGCCATGCTTGGAGGAACCAAGGGACCACCCTAACAGACAAGTTTGCAAATAGGAAGCCATGAGGTTACCAGTACTCCTAAGACGACTGTGCTGAGGAATATCACGCGCAGAGGGAATGCTGTTAGCACCTCCTTCTCTCCCACCGTAGACTGTGGTCTTCCAGGTGACACATGGGTACCCTCAGGCTATCCTTGTTTTGGTCCTGCAAATCTGCATTGTAGAAACTGAGGACCTAAGCTGTTGATGCTCTTACAGAATACGGAGTGGATATCCGCCCCCCCAAATCCAACAGTATTCTCCCCTCGACACCCACCACCCGAAAAGGGAGCGTGAAAGAAGGCCTTAATGTCAGCAGTGGAATTAAAGGCTGCTTTAGGAGTCCATTCACAGAGCCACCGCTCTTGCTCTTTCACCTGGGACACAAATACCTCGGGGGACAGCAGAGGAACCACTAAGCAGTAACAGAGGATGAATGAACAGGTTAGTCACAACGAGACAATGGGGGAAGGTGAAGCATGTTTGGACACCAGATACACAGACACAAAAAAACCACAAGAAGGCTGAGAGGAGAATATGTGCAGAGACAACTGAATGTGAGCATGGGGTTAGAAGTGTGAGGGAACGTCAAATCAAGGAAGCAAACGTACCATTAGTCGGATGCTTTGCAAACGACACAGAAAATCGTTTTACGGCTGGCATAGACAAGAGCTCTGAGGAAATAAAAACAGATCATCTCAGTTAACAGCCTGCTTCTAAGGATCCCCCAACCTTCATATGCTTGCAGCTACCCTGCCAGATTCACCTTCTTCCTCACCCCGTAAGACGTGCTCCCGTTGGCACTGCTGCGGCACCCCGGGCGGTCTCTGCCTGCAGGTCTGACCGAACCTCTGGGCTGCCTCGCGCTCCGCTGGCTCCCCAGCTCCCTTCCACTGCCCTGCCAGGGCCTCCCCCGGCACTACAGAGACCTCGGCCGCGCTCTCAGCCACAGACAGCATCTCATACCTTCCCACCACACTTCAGCCATCCTGAGAGCAACCCAGGCTCAGTCCAGCGCAAGACGCAGTTAGGCCATGCTCGCAGCCGCAGGAGCACACGGCCAAGCAAGCAGCAGCACCGCAGCAGGATAGTTCTCAGGATTCACCTCTGCCCGAGGAACACGACAGCTGTTCTGCAGAGGAACTGAAGGGCCCTGGCACAGGTAAGTGCAGCTCAAAACATCCTCTTAATGCAAGCTAAACGGGGCTATTTATGAGTTTAAAGCTAAACCAACTAACTAATTAGGGAACAAACAGAAGACCCATGAAGACATGCCTCTACGGTTCTGTTGCTCAAAGCATTTCAGTACAGAAGAGGTTTTGGGATACACCTGTCAGAGTGGTCCTCGGGCTTCTCCTGGCCACGTCCCAGGCCAGGCCAAGCTCTCCCATAGAAATCACACATCGGAAAGACAGTGCAAGGACAGATGCTGTGCATCTAATGGGGTGCAAACAGATGAGCTTTAAAAGACATGGATTAGTCTCCATATGCACCAAAAAAAAAAAGGCTGAAAACATCAGTTTATTCCCACTCTGGAAATTCCTCAGCTATCATGGGAAAAATGGCCTAGATCAGACCATCTGTATGTAGGATTTGATGTGAGACCCCAGCCAATCATACCTTTTGCTGCTATTTAGGAACTTCTAGGAAATATTAGAACATGTTTTTATTTCTCTTTCACGTTTCATGTGTCCATTCTACCTAGCCAATAGGGTCTGTATGCCTATCCCTCTACACCGAGGTTAGGAGATACATGTATGAATTTAAGCTCCACACCCGCATTGTGCTTCTCTAGCTACATCCACTGGCTTGGCCAAATAATACATTTAAACCAACTCTCAAACTTGCTGCAATTTCCTTCACCAGCACAACAGCCCTAAAAATTGGTTTTCTTTCTCTAACTCAACAAATAGAGCATGACAATCTTCCCTACGCATGCAATCCCTTAGAAGTGTCCAAGTCCTGGAGCTGCAGTCAGCCAGCTGGTAACCATCTCCATTCCACCCCACATCTCCCCCTTGCCTTTACAGCACATCGATTTAAATGGTAATGCAACATAGCTTGCTGGATCCCTGGCTTCAGACAAGCCAACTTCAAATCACAACCACCAGCAGACCTTCCCTCAGCCTGAGGTTGGGACACAACTTTCCACTGAAGCGCTCCTTAGCCCTCTTCCAGCCCCAAGCGAAAAAGACTTCAGAGATAAGGGCCATTTTAACTTCACTTGAGCAAGTGTTTGATGAAGTGCTATAAGCCATGCACCACACCTTGAAGCATCACAGCCATGAAAAAATATCAAAGAGTTCATGCAAAGATGTGCTCCAGAATCTGAAGGTTTTTAAACAGTATCAGCCTGATGACTGTGAAAAAGGCCTTGACACAAATGTACTCCAAGAGTCTGCTGTAGCTGCTGTGTCACTTACTGTATTCAGCTCTAGTGATGGTTGGTTTAAATGCCATTGTTCAGCATATCATTGGTGCTCATTTATGCAGGAACATGCAGATCAAGGGCTTATTTCACATTCCAGACTACCTTCCTGAGCAGCTAAACGCCCTTCTGCCTCCTACTTGTTTTTCCAAGCCCCCCGCTTCTTCCTCACAATTGCTCTTATTGCAGCAAGGCGCTGGTAGCACAGGGTGCCATAGCACACTAAGAAACACGAAAAAAGAAGTGTAACACCAAGATGAACAATTCTGGGCTGTTAGTCACACACTAATTAAGTAAGTCTGCCTTTTAAGTACTCGAGGGTACAACTGCGTCCCAGCATGCAGAGACCTTGTCACTGAATTTAGGCTAATGCAGCAGGACCCTGCTCTGGACCTGGAATGTGAGTAGCCAGTCGCAGGCACACTCCTGCTACATAGCCTCCAGAGAAAGGCAGCACAGCACCAGGACTGAGCAGAATCTGTTCTGTTCCCAGCTGGGTGCGGAGTGAGCAGTCTTTGATGCTTTCCCCCGAGAATTAGTGCTGCCTTGGATTCACGCTGCTTGCAGAGTTATGGAAGAAAAGCAGCCAGAGCCCTTGCTGGCCATTTCAGCGGCTCTCCTGGTAGTCACACCCCCGTCTCGTGCCAAACACCATGAGCTTATTCTGGGACCTACGAGTAGCCAGCGCTTGCTGCCTTGAGCCGCTCAGACTGGTACAGCGGGGTATCACACCCTCCCAGTTCACCCTCTATCACTCACGGCCTGCTGTGTGCTAGGGAGCTCCCTGAAGAGGGGAGAAGCAACACCGTTTTCTCTTACACAGTGAAAAGCAGCACAGAAAGCCAGTATGCATAACGGTCTCAATACAATTCTTGAAGTTCCAATAGGTCTGAGAATTGGATAGCATCTTTCCACCCTGGTTTGCTAGGCCTTTTTCCTTGTCTCAAAACTGGACAAAAATCCAAACGAACCAGCCTCCTGTTTTCCCCAAAGGCCCCAAGTTACTGCCTTAATCATCTCCCCACCTTGTAATCCACCAGTGCCAGTATTCATTATGATCCCGATAAGCAAAGCACTCAGGCTCTGTAAAGTCTTGATTAAAACACCATTTGTTAGAACTAAGAGAAAAAGGAAAACGAGAGGATAGATAATCTCACAGATGCTGGGAAGCCCGAGTTGTGCGACATTAGGTGGATGTCCAGCTAGGGCACAGCATGCTGTGCAGATCCTATCCATGGAGTGGTTTGTTCAATGCTGCTCAACAGCGCTCCAACAAGTGGTATGTTAATCAGTACTTACAGAGTCTGAGTGCCTTTCTTACCGGGAGCACAACGGACACTTGCGCTGGTGCGTTACACCCCTCCAGCTCCTCCGGGATACCTCAGTCTCTCCCTGTGCTCCAATTTCCTTGACAGCAGCACCACGCTCTCTGCTTCTCAGTGCGTAACGCACTAGTACTAACTGCGGATCAGTCTGCGGCTGGCAACACACCTTCACCCACGTGCACTGGGCAACATCTACACTAATGACCCGAATGTATTTTATCAGATTGTCTTGCTGAACTTCAAGGCAATTTCTGCAGAACTGCACAATAACTAGACTTTCCAGTCCTTTTGCAGTATTTAATCCAAGCATCCCACTTACCACAAGCATTTCAGGCACATTACACTTGCTTTCTGACAGCTACCTCGGACTCGTCCGTGTGCCCAGCCCTACTCTAATACCCATCGTACCCACCCCCAAGCATCTCGTTCTGCCTTTGGGAGGCCTCCATCTTCCATAGGGTGAGGATTACTGTCTCCACAAAAGCTTCATTTAGCATCATCAAGACCACCAAGGTAAGCAAGATGATGGGATGCGCTGGATTTCCATACCAGGACAAACCTATTTAATATCTAGACCAATAAATCCTCCTCCTCAACAGCAAGGAGTATTAAAATGTCAGACCAAAATCAGACCCCAGCAATACCACACATCAGCATAAAGCTCCTCGCACAACGTCAGCTCCTGTCTTGTCCTAGCAAGGATCACAATTTCTTGGGATATGATAAAATGCATTACTGTAGATGCGGCGAACGTTCACATTCAACTGTCATTCTTCTTAGCAGTCTAAGTCTTTGCCTCAGTAGCATCCTGAGACACCAAAGTCCACACATTAACCACCTGCTGCATGGGGAACACACATACCGTCTTTGTATGTCAGGCTGCTGGCAAACTTTTTGCCATGGCTGCGTGCGTAGTCCTGGAGGTTGGGGGCACTGGAGGAGCCTCCCAGCACAGTGGTGCTAAACAGGCCGGTGCATTGTGACCCTGGAAAGGCATGGAAGGTGTTAGTATTATATCTCCACTGCATGCAACTACAGAAAAGCAGGGTTAGTCAAAGAATGAGGAATGAACTGGCCACTTCGCAGGCAATCTCAGGAAAAAAAAATGATGCCAGGGAGCACAGGGAGGCAGTATTCCCCATTCTAAATTCAGTAGTGCCAAATGCACAACAGGTAGCCCAAAACTCAGCACCAGGAAAGTTCTTAACTCCGTCCAGGGGTTTATTTCCATTTGGCTTTCTTGCCCTGACCTAGGAGAAACACCCTGACACCCCCTAGTCAGCAAATCTACATACTCATGTCAGAAAAGCCAGGATGCCAAATCACTGATGTTCATACCACAGGGCTTCATTGCTCTGCTCTTCTGCCCTTTCTCTTTGGAAAGTTCCTTTTTCTGTAGGACACCAAGAAGAAGAAAGGACTGCGTGATCTGTTGATCAGCAAATGTGCATTAATCGCTCTGTAAAGTAGTACGGAAAGCAACGTGACCAGAGAGCTTTCTTTCACAAGCTGCTGCCCACATGACATGTCACATCCACTTGGTCATGTCTTGCTACTCCAGAGCAGGTCCAATTGCTTCATGCACTGCCCTTGCAAAGCACCAGATGCGCACACAGCATGGAACTTTGCTCACCCTATGGCAAGGAATATGGCATGCAAGATGGTCTCAGGCCTAGGAGGGCAACCTAATACCAGTGGCTTTGGCAACTGCTGGTGTTCGCTTCTCCAAGGCACAGTGTTCTGCAGAGCGACTTGACTTTTATGTGATATTTAGGGAACACTGGGCGTTTGAAACAGGATTCTTTCGACTGAGGAAAGCAATTGTGAGTGAGACAAAACCTTATTATGGGCCAGACAAAGCCAGCAATTGGCTATAAATTCTCTGCTAAACTGTTTTGATGCTGCATTCTGTACTGAGAATACCAGCTGCTAAAGCCAACATTACTCCCACATACAAAAGGCTTCCAGAAGCAAGCAGGTTGATCTTATTCCACCTTGTCTGCCAAGGCAAAAAACCTGACATGCTGCCTATTAGTATTTAACTAGAACAGTGTAACTGTTACTACTGTTAAAAAGATCCTGCCTATATTGCAAGCAGCTCTTGATTCTAAAATACAGCATCATAGCACGATTTAGGTTGGAAGGAACCTCCGGAGGCTTCTTTCCCAATGCCCCAGCAGGGCCAACTTGGATCAGCTTGCTAGGGTTTATCCAGTCAAGTTTTTAATACCTCCAAGAAAGGAGATTTCACAACCTCTCTGGGCCCCTGTTCCAATATCTGGCATGCTCATGGCGAAAAATTTGTTCCTCCCAGCTAACTGGAATTTCCCATGCTGCAACTTGCATCTGTTGGTTCTCATTCCATCGCCACGCGCCTTGGAGGGCAGTCTGTCTCCATCTGCTCTGTAACCTCCCATTTAGGTGGCTGAGCAGCATTGAGGTCTCCACTCCCCACAGCTTCTGATCTGAACAAGCCCCGCTCTCTCAGCTTCTCCTCACAGGTCGTGTGCTTCAGCCCCCATCCCCTCCACTGCCCCTCAATGGGCTTACCCCCACTCCATCCACACCCTCTTGCACTAGGGAGCCCAGGACACGACAGCAGTACTTCAGACGCCGTCTCACAGGAGGTGAATAGAGGGGAAGAACCAAATCCCTCAGCCTGATGGCTGTGCTCCTGCCAACCCAGCAAAGCATGCCGTTGGCCCTCCTCGGTGTAAGGGCACACTGCTGCCTCACGTCCACTCCTTGCTCTTCAAGACCCCAGCTCTTTCTCTGTAAAGCTCCTTTTTAGCCAGAGCTTCTTTGGAGAAAACACACAGATCCTGTTATTCACACGTAAGCTCTAAGCTGACAATATCTGCTCCTGGGAACAGCGGGGGATGACCGAAAGAGTTCTCATACGCACTGAACTTAAGCTGCTCCACCACTGCGACACTGCTGGTCGCTTTCCACAGGACAGACTCGCACATACGTGTCCTTGGGCAGACAGACAAAGAACTCTTGCCTGCAAGGTGACTGATACACAAGTCTTAGAAAATTTCCTCCTAATGCCTTACATTGAAGCTCAGTGCTGACTCAGCTGAACTGGAATCTGTCAGAATGCAAACAAACTTTTGTCAAGCAGCAGCCAGGATGATGCACCTTCCATGGCTTAAAGACAAACAAACAAACAAACAAACAACCCAACAGACTCATTTACTGGCAGATTAAAAATGGAACAGAAGATTTTTATGACTTTCTGTCTTGAGCAACCTCGTGCCACTAATCATTAAACTAAGGATAACCCAGTGCTTCTGCTATCCTACAGCAGGCAGAGGCATTTTGTCAGCACCCTCAAGCCAGAAGAGAATTACAAAGATGACTACGGATGACAGCAGTTGTCTACAGTGAACTCTAGGAGACCACTGTAGCCAAAGTTAACACACACACACACACACACACAGAGTCTAAAGAACATAATGGTACACGAGCCATTTGGATTTAAGATGTAGCAACATTTGCTAGAAATTACGTATGTGCTGGATCTCTTTTGTGTATTTAATTTTCAGATGTACATTCAATGTTTCAGATGTTTAAAAAATGGACATCCCTTACGGCACAAAGCTTCATGCCCACCGGCAATACACCACCTCTACTGCTCAAACAGCAAGGAGCGATTTTAGCCCGTTTTGAAGTGTTCTTGCAAGCAAAGAAAGGCACTGAAACTTCCCTAGGCTTCTCAAGCTAGAAGCATGCACACTATTGCAGACAAGCCACAATAATGCACTTGCTCCTGCCCAGAAAAACGTGGCATACTCCAAAGCACCGCTGCGCATAGACAAAGCAAGCTGCAGCGCGCCCCTTTTCCAAACAGACATTTCAAGGCATTTTTTAAACGACAGTAAAGACACAATTCTGGCAGGTATGGCAGCAGGGTTATTACTGGAGTTCTGTCCTGCTCCCCATTCTTGCATGCCTAAACATACGAGGTTATACCTGAACAGACGTTCTCCCAGAGAATCCATTCTCCCAGAGATAACGACAGCCAGCCACTGACAACGTCAGGCAACAGGAGACAGGCTCGATTTCAGAAAAGCTCAGAAACACCAGGTAGTATCTGAATGAACCCCCTCATAGCACAGCTGCTGAGACAAGTATTAAAGCCAAAGTTCAAGCTCCCGTGAGTTCTATCTTATTTCTCCCAGAGAGAGCATGTTTCAGATCCTAAAGTGGGAAGAAATTAGATTGCTACAAAACAAGCAGGAAAGGAATCATGAAGATTCCTTGAAGAGCTTGACTTTTACAGGTAAAGAGGCATCCTTCTTCTTAACATTTCTCAGGTTAAGAGACATTCACAGAAACACAGACACCCTAATAACCAGGGACTGTGCAAGCTAGCGTCGCACCACAGGTCTCTCCTGCTCCCCTTCTGTGCCTGCAGCTGCAAGGCTCTATAGAGAAGAACGATGGCTGGGCTGAGTTTCCAGCTAGAGGTTTACTGTCACAGATCAGGTCTATCCATTCCTACTCAAAGTTTTGTCTCTGCAGAGCTTCACAGTTGGGAGAGTGACCAGCAAAGGCTTCCCAGCAAGGCAAGTCAGGCAAGAACCTGAAATTAAACCTGCCAGGAGCACATTTCAAGTTTTGTTGTCAAGGAAAAGTAGTACTGTACAAGGGTCCAGCAGAGTAGTAGTCTTCTCTATTGCCAAAACAGACATTCCTCAGAAACCTGGAAAAGGCTGTAGTAAATAGGCTGTAATATCTGCTTTCCAGAGCACATGCCTTCTGGTACTCAGACATCCAAACAGTGAAGACAGTTTGCATGTAGCGTTTGACGTACTCAGTAATTCTCCGAGCAGATGCACTTCCTCGACTATGTGCCGTCTCAGAAATTCTCGTCTTGATTCACATGGATTCACTGAGTAACCATGGGTTTCTTCAAGCCTAAGCAAGGCAGTCTATTACAGCTTACTTAATCCTGCAGGCGGTCTGTGAAAGGCCAAAGTAGATGCACCACATGAAACAGCACATTCAAAATCCACTATGGCCAAGGCTATTGTGCCTTTATGAAAATAATACGCATCAGCCATTCCTTCTTAGATTTTTCCAACTGGCTGGGAGCATAGCTGGCAGACTCCAGGGATACTTCCTAACCACTCTGAAGAAAAAATTCCCTTTACTTGATTAGAATTATCTTCCAAAGCAGCAGCTCATTCAAAAGTGACAAAGAAATGATCAGGCCTTTCAGAAATCTCTCGGCTGCAGGATGTCCACGTAACAGAGTAAAGAACTGATGAGTCAGAACTGCTGCAAGTCTATGGCCGTGCCATCATGCAAAAATGATTTTAAAGAAAAAGCAAGTGGGCATAACTTGGGCATTTCCACCTCCTGGTGCTTATTAGTCATCGGCAAGATCTAGGTTTCACAGCTATCTTTGAACCTCATGACAGAAAAGACAGCTTTTCAGTTTCCAAATAGATCTTGCTTTAGCAAAAATATTTCAGGAAGAATTTCAGCTACTAAGACATAGTTTAGGTTAGGATGACAGGGAATGGTACTCTCAAGGACAGGCAGAGAACACCAAGTGCCCCAAAATATTCTCTTCCGCTGGCTACCATGCAAAGAATGGCTAATCAGGGATTCCAGCTCAATCAGAGAGCTGTCAAACGCCACTGCAGACGACAGATCTGTTCCATACAAGAGATCTTTAGGAAGCAAGGGTAGAAACGTAATAGTCTTATGTGAAGAGCAGCTTTGCATGTAAACTACTGTTTTGCGGAACAGAAAGCATGCTAGTTCTCACGTAAAATCAACTCTTCCTACTAAGTTCAGAAATGGTATAACAAATGATAACAACATGGAACCAGAAGGCCAACCTGCAAATATGCAGCTTGCTCTGTTGCTCCCATACTATAAAGGATGAAAAGTGCATCTTCTGTTGCTAGAAGCTGAAGGAGAAGATCATACACAAAAGGAAATACAATAAGATAGTCTCTACAGTGGTCTAAACAGTATCACTAAAAGAAGACATAATACACACAGAGAGACATACAAGGAACTTAAGCCGGATGTATATGTGGAGAGACAGACAGATGCCCACAGAAATACAGAGGTACAGGTGAGCAGGCCGGTTACAGGTCAAGTACAGTACCTAAGCCACTTTGCTTCATCTCAGAAGACTGCCTGGAATAAGTGCTGAAGAGGCGATAACCTCCTGATTTGGAAGAAGATTCAGATAGCACCTGCAAAGACAGATAGTATAATCAGTGTCGTGCTCTAAGTCACCCACTGGTCTCAAAAGCCTTTATGCATCAATTGAAGGTAAGGAAAAGTACGTCTCTTCCTTAAAATCACAGTTCTCAAGAAGCATAAAGGTTGTCATATATGCCAAGATTGTGACAGTGCACACTCAATTTTAATTTCAAGTTTGTGTTGAGTTGTGGAACAGTGGAGGTTTCAAAAGCATGAAGGGACTCGTGTAGTGAGCTCCCTGTCTCCCAAGACTCTTGCTGGGATCACTGGGACATAGAGTTCCTCTTTAGCAGCAGGGAAGTATATCCCCTTTAACTCAGGATGTGCCTGTTACAAAGAGCCCCTGAGTACTGCATGCAAAGATTACATCATGAGCGACATAGAGATGGAAGCCAGCTAACAAATACCTCAAGCCCTAACTCTCTGCTTTCACTGGTGCAGAAAACAGAGAGTAAAAATGCCTGTGAAACCCCTCCAAAAGGAGGGGCCATTTCTAGAGCACTTTGAAGGTGCCAGCCACCGGCGGACTGTGAAGCTAGCCTTATGACGCATACGGCCCCGAAGGAGAGAAGTAAGAACAGTAAAATCAATCTTTGTTACTTTAGCAGATCAGTGAACGGGACAGTTCTAAACCCCGGGACAGTTTAAACACTCTGCAATAAAACCACCAGTCAGCAGGGACCCCCGATTTGCATGAGATCTTAGATGGGAGACTGGAACAAGAAATGTGGAGCTGAACTGTGAGAGGCAGAGGCTGGAGTCTAAAGGGAAGGCAAAGATGTCACCGTGGCTAGGTGAAGAGGTTGCACGCAATCTCATCGCTGGCTACGTTAATGCCTCTACAGAGCACGTAATCCAAATAATTCCTGTGTTTCTCAGGCATTTCCTTACTTGCTCTTCCTCATCAATTCCTCTGACCTGCGGTTCCCCTGTTCTTCCTCAATAAGGAAGAGTTTGGGAGGTCTGCCTTCCAAAAAATCCCTCTTCAACTTCTGCAGATCCTTTCCTAGAATCAACTCAAACTCTGGCACGTTAAAAGGAATGCCAGGAAACCAAAACCAAGCAAAAGACCTTCATTTGAACAACCAAGGGCGCCATCGCATCGTTACCTCCATGGACCCTGTCTTCCGGTTCCTGATCAGCGGTGATCTTCGCTGAATGCTGACCGGCTCGGAAGGCTGCGGAGACCTTTGCTGTGCACGATCTGGCTCATCGATGCCCTTCTCTTTGGAGAGGTCCTCCAGGCTGCCCTGGTCTGCTTTCTTGTCCTCATTCTGCAGCAGGGAAACATTGACACTTACAGGCACGAGGCCTTTGCAAGCACTGCCCAGGCACTGACTCCAGCCTTGGACCTCCCAGCTCTGCCGAGCTCAGAAGGATACCAGCATTCCCAAAGACTGCCCTGACAAACCCTCGGAGTCAGGCAGGGAACACCACCCGCTAACCGCCCACAGGCACAAGAGAAAAGTCAGAGAAAAATTTGCTGCTGGAGATGGGACGGCAGCAGAGCCTGGCAGAGCAGCAAGGCTGCCAACGCGCTCGCCACATCCGCAGCAGGGCAGCCTGCGCCCAGGCAGCGTGCTCACCTCCGCGGAGGCAGGCCGAAAGCCAAACCCCGTGGGCACGTTTCTGTCTTCCTCGCAGCCTTTCACGCCAGGGCTGAAATGCAGCTCCACATGGAAACGCTCTTCTGAAGATGGGTCCTGTGAACGTGAGGCACAGGGAATAAGCAAATAAATAAAAATCAGTCCCACGTCAGCATAGGCCATGGTCTGGACTGGGGCCACCCTGCCATGCCAGTGCAGCACGCATCCCAAGCGCATCCTTTTGGAAGGAAAGCGGAAGCAACAAGAAACCATGAACATAACGGCTCTGGGTTTGTCTCATCCAAAAGGACAGCCCTTATTAGCACACAGCTGAGGCATTCAAATTGTTGTTATTTTGTGACAACAGCCACCAGAGGACGGAAACAGAATTGGGCTATATGTGTGTGTATATATATATATATATGTGTGTGTGTATATATATATATACACACACACACACACACAAAAACCTAAAACATAGCCCCTTCTGATCCACTCCTGTTGCAAAACCAGCATGCACTGGGACAGGGAGAGACTGGTTCCCTCCTGGACCTTTAGTCTGGTTGTTCCAAGATTTAAGTAACTCTCTCTACTATTAATTTTTTTTTCTTAGGGGAAGCCAGAGCTTTTGCAGTATCTGGCACTAATGATGTAAACCCAAAAGTTTCACCATCTCTACTTACTAACAGATTTACACCACTCCTAAGAGCTCCACTCAGAGTTTTGGGTTTTTTTTTGACAAACGGGACTAGGAAATATTTCACTGCTACCATTAAAACCCCACATCAGCTCTGTGAATACAAGATCCTAACCCTACGGTGTACGGAGGACAGGGACTGCTCCCCTCGCCCGCTACGGCCTCCCGCACCGCAGGACCTGAGCACAGGACCTGGATTCAGTACGTGCAGTTTGGTGCCAAACCCACCTACGGTCATCACCATCAGCTTCCACATTCTGGCTGGTTTTTAAATGATTCTCCTTACTTCCTGAAGATATCAGTATATACTTCCCTAACTATATCAGTATATTTTTAAAATTAAAAAAAGTTTGCGAATGTGGAATTCCAGGATATTTTCTAGAAATATTTGGAGAAAACTGCCAAATAGAATTTGTTTTTTATTTATTTTTTCCTACTGTTCATTTGTAATTAAGATTAAGAAGCAGCAAATTACTTTGCTTTAAGAAATGCTTTAAAATAGACAGTATTGATTACTTAAGTTTGGCATTACTGCTCAGGGTGGCATTCCGCTTACATGTAACAAGCATTAACTGCATCACTGCCTCCCACCTAAAAATAAAAACTAGCAGTTGTGTTAACGATCTGTCCATCTTTATTCACAGGCGGAGACAGCTCAGGTTACAAACTTCCCAGCTGAACTCATCTCTCGGGGACTGCGCCGTGCATCACGGCAGGAAGGATTTCATCCTACGGCTACATCCCTCACCTTGTTGTTGTCCTCGTAGAGCATGATAACAATCTGGGTCATGTAGTTCAGCTCTGAGATAGCACTCAAATAGTCCATGGCTCTCTTCCACTGCTGGTCTTTGTTTTCCTGATATATACACATAAACAGTCGCATGGAATAAGCAACAGCAGACACCTTGCAGCGTTCAGTGAAATGCGTCTGAGAGAGGTTGTCTCTCCACAAGATAACAACATTGTCAGGACAAAAACCACCTTGCTTAACTTGCACGAGGAGAGATGACCTCGCAATGAGGGCGGGGTGCTTACAGTAAGGAGCAACTGCATAGAGGGACACTACAGCTACCCGTACAATCCACGTGCAGATCTGAGCACATCCAGCTGCAAGCCCCCTGTGCCATGCTGACTGGAGAAAAGCATAGCCCACGGCAGGCTCCCAAACACAGTCGTTCCCAAAGTGGCCTACAGAATGCAGTATTTTAGAGAAATCTCAAAAAAAGCACAAGGGATGAACTTGTGCTCAATAAGGGACCAAGTGCAGCTGCTTTTACACGATGCTGAATGAAAAGTCTACAGAGCCACGCCGGACCCCTGGACTCCACGAGGCCGGGCAGCCCACCCCTCATTGCTTCCCCAGCACTGCTAGGGAATGGCCATACCTGCAGTGCCACTCATGCTGCTGTGGAGCATCTCACCACCCTGATGGACGTGAAATGAACCCCACCAGTACAAACGAACCCAGATGCAGCCTAATATCCCTGTGCTGGCAACCCAGCATCCTCTGACACTCAAGTCGGGGAATAAAGAGCATCTTCTTCAGTGAGCAATTCAGAGGTACTTGCACGATCACTGCCTGCAGGTACACTGAGCTTCCACAGACATCAGAAATCATGCCTGCTAAGCAAGCCCAAACAAGGCATTTCAGAACACCATGCTTAAAAATGGGAAGATCAATCTGAGAGCCTCTCAAGGAGTCTAAAGCAGAGCTTTTCTCAGGGTCTGCATGCCAACTGCTTCAGGAAGCAGGTTAGGAGAGCGAGTGAAGGTTGGATTGGATGAGTTAGTCCCCTAAAAATGTGCCATCTGTCCCTCTGGTAGAGAGCACCCCCTATGCATTTGCAACCTCAAGTCACTTCCTCTGCAAACTGATTTTCTTGACTTAGAATTGACTGAAAGTCACTAAATAACAGGGCCAAGCTCTTGAAATAAAGGGTTGAAGGAAGGAGGAAGAGAGAAATTCCTTCATCCCCATTGCCTCATACTGCTATCCTCCTGCACAGGTAAGTGGTCTACTCATCTGAAACCAGCAGGACAGCTCTTGGAAAAAACATGCCTCTGCACAAGCAAGGCAGGCGGTGTCAGGACTGAGGAAGAACAATCCTCCTACAAGCCAGAAAGGCAGGAGGCTGCAGCATGCAAACACAGCAGAGACGGAGTTGGCCAGAGGCCACTGATGCACACCATTACTGGGGGAGCTGGCTAGAGGGGCAACCTACAAACATACACTGTCCACCTTGCAAAGGGCCACCGAAAAAAAGCAGGGAGGCTTACTCTGTGAGCATTGCTGGGACACTTACATCCAGGAGCCCCCCATAGCGGAAGATACTGAGCAGAGAGTGCACGTGGCTCTCACTGGTGAAGTAGAGCCGTGTCCGAACGTGGCGACCTGGTGACAGAACTCCTCTTGAGTACCTAAACCAAAATCAGCCCAGTGTTACTCACAGCCTGCTAATGAATTGCCATCTATCATACAGCAGCATCTCTGCACGCTTAATGGAATTAGAGAACCCCACACTGGGAACTGTCAAAGAGCAGCAGGAACAGAACAAACAGTGAGAGCACTGGGCACAGGAGCAGCGAGTTTTATGGCATCCTAATGGAGACGCGTGGTGGGGCAGAGGTGGCCTCATCATACCAGCACTTGCCCCTTGCAGAGACAGGGATGAAGGCACCACCATCCAACTACAATGGCTTTAAGCGCCTGCGGCACCATGCTCCCGCTCAGCAGTCTCAATGGGCCTTTCCATCTCCCTTCTCGTTCTAGGAGCACCAACATGCCTCCCTCTTGGTGTGTCCTTCAGTGTATGTTCAGTGCCTCCTTCCACACCAGCGCGTGGCCCCCACACACTGCTCCAAAGCTGCCCTCCCCACCAGCAGCAGCATGCAGCACAGTCCTTACAAGGGATGTAGTTTGTTGACGGACTCATCTTCATGGGTTCTCTGTAGGTCCAACTGGATCTTTTTAATGAGAGGAAGACAAAAGCCGATAGCAATCTCCAGTTTCTCCTCCTTATTAATCCCATATTCCTGCAGGAACAAAACAACAGATACCCTTGAGCCCTGGTTCTTTGCCACATCCTCACATGAAAGGAGGCTGGACTCCAACAGGCCTGTCCGCGGGCACCGCTGCAGTTAAGCAAGGGCAGAAAGGGAAGTGTCACTCAGCACCATTTTTTTCCCTGCATATTGCAGAGGGTAACAGAGGACAGAGACTCCTCCAAGAATCCCAATCTGTCTAGACATGACTGTGGTATCCTTCCAACAGCTGAGAGGCACAAATACCATCAGGGAACCTCCCCTCATGACACACAAACTTGTACCCTGACCTGGCATTAATGCAACAACTGCTATTTGCAAAGATAAAACTTGAAGTGCCATGCTGGAAATAGCCAAACTGCATCTCATCAGGAACAACGTGAAAAAGTTTAGAAGACCACTTCTGCTCTACACAGGCACAAGTGCAGTTGGACCTTGTGGGTAGAAGCTCATCCCACATAAACGAAGCATTTCTGCCAGCAGCGGGACAGAACAATGGTGAATACAGAGATCGGTTGCACGTGGCCCTCCTTTCCCCTCCCGTGTTCATGGGCACAAACTTGCTGAGAAGCAAGCCAACTACACAAACTGAACAAGTTCTAGCTTGACAAGAATAACAAACTTGCCAGAACAAGCCTTCACTTTAACACAGAAATCTCTCTT